CTGCTACGGGGACGGGACGGGGAGGGATATTATATTATTATTCCCAACGGGGTGGGGATGGGGGACATTTTCCCCTCGTGAAATTTTGCGGAGTATTTTCCCCGCCCCGCAGGAATTCCCATCACTGCGAAAAATTAAAAAAAAAAATTAATTTCATTTTAAATTTAGTATAATTTTAAAACCCAACCCAATTCAATAAAATTTAACTCACCCCAAAGCCCAACTCAAAGCCCAACCCAATCTTTGTAACCCTAAGCATCCTTTTAACCCTAGGCAACCTTATTTGTTTCTCCATTTCTGTAGTGACTGCCCCTGCCTCTCACCCTTTGACTCTCACTCACACACACTCACTTTCACTTAAGTCATCTTCCACCTTCCCTTTTGGCCCTCCCCACAAATCTCAAACCCTAAATCCCTCAATCCCTTCATTGCCACCCTTCTTTCCTTTTCTATTTCACATCTCACCCTTCTGCTTGGAACTGGAGTCTGGACTGTTGTTGCCGAACCATGGACTGTTGTTGCCGAACCAAATCCGTCTGCACCACTGCTGTTGATGCTGCTGCTGCTGTGCCACTGCTCTGCCACGGCTGCACCACTGCCCCACCACGGCTGTGCCACTGTCTTGCCACTGCTCTGCCATGGTTGCGCCACGGCTGCGCCACTGCTCTACCACGCTGCTGTTGCTGCTCAAAGTCAAAGTCGAAGTTGATTTGCTGTGATTTTGATTATGTTTGATATAAAAAATGTATATTTAGATATTAATTAGTGAGGAACGGGAATCTCTGCGGGGATCCTAGTTCCCTGCAAAGAATGGGGATGGAGGGGGCAGATTAATCCTCGTGGGAATCCCCGCCCCCATCATTTGCAGGAACGAGAATGGGGAGGGCCTCCCCGACCCCGCGAAGCCTCGTTGACATCCCTAGTCTTTCTTCGATACGGGGCATGCACATCAGCACATGACGAGAGCACGTGATACAGAGCGGGTTAATGCAACATTCATCATGTGTCCGGAAATTCTTCTAAAACTAAAAGTAAAATGGAAACTACATTTGATTGGATGAATTAATTCACTTAATAAAATAATTTTTTGTGAATTTTTAAATTTTATTGTGGATGTGTTTTTATAAATTATTTGGATAAATTATCTTTCGTTAAAATAAAAAAAGATTAATTTTAAGATAAACACAACTTAATTAAAAGACACCATTTCATTAAAAAAAAATTCTTTTTACAATTATAATTTGGAGTTACATTGAGGCAAAAAATAAGGGGCTTGGTTATGGTTTAATTTGACAACGCTATTAGGTGCTGTCATGTAATGGTTATAAGTGTTGACACAAAAAAACATTTTAATATTTGATAATTATATTTTTAAAAAATTATTTATTTTAAAATTATTTAATTAGATATATTATTATTATTTAAAATTAAATTAATTAATATTTTAATATATAATGTATAAAAAAATAAAAATTTTATTAAATTATTTAAAAATTCTATTAATTTTGAATAATATGATTTTTGTATTCTTTTTTTTAAAAAAAAAAGTAAGGATAAATAATTTATGAAATATATAAATCACAAAAAATTTTATAAATATCTATAAAAAAAATACTGTAAATAGTATTGTCAAATTAAGGCCATGGTTGAATTCACATGATACACGAACTAGAAAATTTTCGCCTTTGGCTTTTTTTCATCATTCATTTATTTTCCTAGATGCTTAGGTCCCAAACTACATGGGATTATGCGCAATTTGTCTATCCACTCTTTGATTGCGCCGTACATGCAGTTATGCTTTGACTAGATAGCGTTACTTGAGGAAAATAAGTTGCCGGATTATTGAATCTGAGTAATTAATCTTTTTAAAAGGCAGATTTCTTGCACTCGGGCTTTTCGGTGGTTTCAGATCATATATAAGTGTTATTTTTTTTAAGATAATAACTTAAATTTGATCCCTTGTAAATTTGTTAAAAAAAAAAAAGAAAGCCAGATTTGTTATCTAGGTTTTTTATTTAAGAAATAATAAACAAAAAAGGGGTTATCCAGGAGTTTGTTTGGTTTGCATATGAAATTGATTCATTTCACTTGCAAATCGAAACATTACTTCTCGGGCGTGGTTATTACAGCTTACAAAAATATTGAGGCTACCTCCTTTTTTAATATTTAATTTTTAAATAATAATTTTTCTTAATTTAGCTATTAAAAATAAATAATAATAATAGTTATTTATTGATAATTAAGAAAATAATTAATTTTTTATATATTAAAATATTAATTACTTATTAATATAAAGATTTAAAAAAATAATTTATATTTGATAAATTAAAACCAATTAATAAACTAAAATATTCAGATACCATCACTAACTAATTATGAAAGAGAAGAAAAAAAACCCATTTGGGTGGCCATATGGCAATAACCAAACCCCTATTTCTGTTCAAAAGCTGAAGAAGCTATTGATTTTGTTTTTAAGTTTTGGACAGTACTATAAAGATAATTCTTTTATATTATATTTTGATATAATTTTTATTTGTTATTAAATAATTAAATATATTTAAAATTCAATATCATAAAATTCACATGAATAAAAAAAAATCAATTATATAAATGACAAATCGAGTTGTAAAAAAAATGAAATAAAAAAAGTATCCCAAAATTATTTCCCTTAAGTTTTAATGCCTTTTACTTACAAAATAGAATCTTTAACCTTTTTATTTCCTTAATAAAAGTCGAAATTGGGAATTCATTTTAAAAATGGAAATTCACTGAAATGAAGAATCAAGAAAGAACACCCTTTACTATTGATATATCAAACGTCCACGGCACTTAAAGATTGAGTGCAAATATGGTCAAGCACACACCATATGTGCGGTACACAGACAAAAAAAGAGCCAACAGCTCATATACAACTTACCATGGAAACAAACCCAAAAACTACATTAACAACTTAATACAGAAAGGAACATGAACAAAGATGTTCTATATTCAATTATTATCATGCAGCAACTTTGGCTAGATATTCATGAACGGCCTTTTTTGTTGGTAGAGCAGGAATGGCACCTCTCTGTGTTATTATGCGCAATTTGTCTATCCACTCTTTGATTGCGCCGTACATGCAGTTATGCTTTGACTAGATAGCGTTACTTGAGGAAAATAAGTTGCCGGA